AGCTTTGCACAGCAGTGACCCGTTCATTGCTAAGTGCTGCATTGGCCCCTTCCCTCTGCTCGCTCATTTCCCCTCTCCTGCCCGTGCATCCAGGGTTCCCATCCTAAACGGACTATTGCATGCCAGTCCCCATCTCAGGGTCTGCTTCAAGGAAAACCCAGACTAAGAGACACTCCGGGGTAAGTGACAGCTTCCCCGGGCAGTCTGTATAATAAACGAAGCAAACTGAGTGACAGACACCCACCACCACCACCCCTGTGGCCTTCTTTCCCATCTTTCCTCCTTGGCTGGAAGCTCTGGAAATTTCCCCTTCCCCCACTCACAAGTTCTTTCATATATCGCAGAACATTTTCCCCTCCTATTTTCCTCTTTCAAAATGTTCACATTATCCTAGAAAACTCTCTCCCCCTCTAAGCATCTCACTTTATTTTTACACCTCCGATATTTAATTCATGTCTGGAAGTGCAGGAGCACCTGGAGTGAGAAAGTCATACTTTCCAAGCGTCACTGGACGCAATGAAAATCATCACCGTCAACCTCCGAACTGAAAAGCGTCCCTAAGGCCTCCTCTCAGAACCACGGGACGTGTCTTCTTTCTCCTCTTTGAACCTCTCGTAAACCCCGTTTTTGTCAAAGACCAACTTTCAGGATAAATGTAAGTCCAATTATCTTGTGATTTTTAAGTTATTTCTTTTTTTATTTGCAAGTAAGACATGAAGATTTTTAAAACTATTTTTTATTACGAACACTCAACATTACAGTAGCATCGAAGACTTACTAGTTTTCTATGGGTGAGCCCTAGACAAAGCAGCATATATAATATATAACATAACTTACAGCACATTTTTGCATCTTGGAGGGTGACAACACCCTCTCCTCCCCCCTTAGTGACAGTGAGAGGCCTTACTCAACTTTACCAACAAATCAGACGGGAGCAAGGAGTTTTCCTTCTAAATTTATCAGCTATCCACAGGATGCCTCAGACTGAAAATATGAAGTGTTTGACTCTGCTCATGTGAAAAGCACTGGGACGTGGTCAGATGCTATTTTTGTCTATTTGTTTTTCGTGGCGACGTGCGCATTCCGTGTCACTGCTGAGGGCATTTGCTCACTCCTTTGTTCATTTTTTTGCAACACGTTAAGCTTGCAAGGGAGGGAACATGTGCTGCGCTTACTCCGTTAACCGGTGACAGGCCTCCAACGCGCGTCGGTTTAAGGGAAAAGAATCTGTTTACTCCCAGCCTCCGGGTCTGAGGTTAAGACACTGATACGGTAGGACTGAGGGGCTCAAAAGAAGACGCCGTCCCCTCATTCCTCGGCTCTGCTTTCCTCTCTCTTGGCGTCTTCCCCAAGCAGGCTTCCCCTAACTGATGGTAAAGATATTTCTCGGCAGCAATGGGTTTTTATTCTCTCAACAGGAGAATATCTCTTTCCCAGTAATTCAGCCAAGGTCCTGGGGAGCACTCTGATTGGCTTTGCTAGGGTCACACGTCTACCCCTGATCCGACCCCCTTGGTCCAGAAGAACAAAACAGTCTGCTGGGCAGGCCTGACACTGTGTCTGTTGCAGGAGCTGAGGGTAAAATCGGCCCGTCAGAAATAACCAAATGGGAGGGATGCGGCTCCTTGTGGAAGAAGGAGACTGAAAAAAATCATGCTAAGAAGTGTTGTCCCATAATATTTCCCGTCCTCAATTATGTCCAGTCATATTAGTCACAGGTCACAGTCCAAAGGCAGTAAAATCCCAAATCAAATAGTCTCACCCCCTCTGAGTTCAGGTTCAGAGGAAGCAAAGCCCTCCGGCTTCTTGGCTGCTTGTTCTCGTCAGCACCTGGGACCTGGGGTGCCTCTCACAGCAATTGGGGTTGTTATCCCAGGCAACAGTGTTACTCATTGCGATTTGGTGATATCTAAGACAGAAAGGGACGGTGGATTGTTCTCACCAAGATGCCAGGAAGTCTGTGCGATTGTCCAGACTCCGAACCTAAACACAGTTGGGAGCTATCTTCCCACAGGAAGTTAATTTAGACACAATGCGCTTAATTAATTTGGGCACAATGGGGGGGTGGAACCTCCTGCATAAACTGCCTCCTCTCTTACGGAACAGATTTGAGAGCCGGTTGCTTCCTGGCAACCTTATGCATTTGCCACAAGCACAGCTCAAGCACCGGCCCTCATCTGAGGTTTCTTTCTCTCTCGTCCTGTGGATCCAGTGGATTCCCAGCTCTCCTTGGAGTCGGTGTTCTCGGCACTTACATGCTGCCCTGAGGGCGAGTTTATCTAGAAACGGAGCCTCCACAGTCGTGGGGCAGACAGTCGCTTCTTCAGTCCCATATTTTAGTGGCTGCCACCACTACCCTCAGTGTGCCCGAGACACTCGCCCCTGAAGCAAGCCTGCCCTTCTCACCTTCCTTCAGCTGGAAGAGGCCCTTCAGGTCCCCAGGCTGCAGCTGCTGCTGCTTCCCGAGGCTGAGCCTGGGCCGGGCAAGTCCAGCGCCTCGGCCTCCTGGCGCTCTTGCTCCTGGCTCTCCTCTCCTCTTGAACCCTGCAGAGTTCTCGGACATGTTCCCTTGGGGCAATGGAAATATCTTCTTGCTTACCTTCTGTATTACCTTGCAACTCAGTAAGCACTTTAATATTTTTGCTTTTGAACATATAGCCACATAAAGTCAAGGTTCATTATCCCCTTTTCAGCAGTACCCAGACTTTTTTAAGTATTCACATCTCCTCCACGAAGTCCTTAGCCCTGCTCCCGTCTCCGGGAATGGCCCAGTTTGGCGTAAACCAAGCTGACAGCCCGCTCCCCCAGCCGAAAGCACTCGTGGGTACGTGCTGTAAGCCAGCCCCGCTGGAAGCTCAGGGCTCGCGAAGCTAGAGGAAAGGACTCTTTCTCCCTCTACTGGTCGTGGACACGGGCGCATGTGTCTGGCAGCCATATGACAACCAATGGTGAGAGAAGGCCATGCCAGAACTTGCACGGAAAAGAATTGTCATCTTTACCAAAGTATCACCTTGGAGGATGCTATGCTTATTCTAAAGAATAATTGGCCAACTAACTGAGAAATTCCTCTTTGAGAATAGAATTTCCAGTTTACAGCATATTCTTTTAGGTATATATACCTCCCTGGTGGAAAAGCCCTGCTCTTTGAGGGTAGATTTTATTTTTTAAAAAAGCTAGGAGTTACTCAGGATCAAGAGTAAACAGTCAGGTGATCAGTTTGAGTAACAGTACTTTGGTGTTTTAAGAAGGCAAACTTTTCACTTGCTAGTGGCTTCCTTGTGGCTAAAACACTAGTCCTGAAGGCATCTTCTCGTTTTAAACAGCTATAACCACTTCTATTTACTATTGTGAGAAGAAAAAGTCTTCACTTCATTATTGCACCTTAGTGAACTCCTGCTTTTCTCTGACATTTTAAAAATATTTAGATCTACTGAAATCTCAAAATAGCTCATCCTTAACAAAAAGTTTTAGCACCTGAAATTCTTTCTCAAAGGCGAAAACCCCACATTTACTTTGTCAAACTGCCAAGGCAACCGCGAACACTGCCATATTAACACCTGCGGATGACCTCATAGAGTCGAAGGCAGTAAGGGGGATGTTCAGAAGTCGAACGTAAATTTTGCTTAGTCTGGTACACTCGCCCAGCCAAACGGGACACGAGGCCAGATGGTTCCCTGTCTGTGTGGCCTCCCACATAACTTGGATGCGTGTGAAGTTCCTATTTCACAGAATTCACTGTTACCACTTTTTTTTAACTCTCAAAGCCCCTTATCATTCATTCCAACAAATAGGTGCATGTGGGAAATGTATCTGCAAAGGCACTAGATAGCAGGACCCAGGCAGATATAATAAAGCTTGGCAAGAATCACTTAATACATCATCCGTCAGTTCTGCAGAAGTCCTGCGCCCATCTCAACCTAGACACCAAATCAGTTCTATTTTTAAGAAATATCTTTAGTTAAGGAGTTTTCCTCAGTCATTTAATCTGTTTTTTTAACAAGTAATCCTATGATATCTTTAAGACCATGGTAAGAATGATATAGTACAGATCTCATCCATATCTTTTTTGAGTAAACATGACTCCTGAAGCTTGAGTGAGGTAGGACACGAGAAAGTCAGATTCTTTAACAACCTGACTAGCTTGTCTACAACTTTACTTATAATATTTTGCAGAAGAACAAATAATTAAGTGGAGATTTTTATTGGGGGCTTGGAATTCCCAATCCAAACTAGAAAGTGGTCAAATGATCTTTTATAACATCTTTCTTCAGAGAAGTTCTAAAGCATCCTGTTTGTCTTCATGAGACAATTGTGAAGTTGAGGAAGATGTGTTTTCATTTTTTAAACAACAACTTTATTGAGATATAACTGATATATAAGAAATCTGGACATATTTAATACATACAATTTTATGAGTTTGGAGATATGCATATATATGTAAATACAGATTTGTGAATGCCTAGTGGAGATCCAGTTTTTCTCCTAAGTAAACAAAGTGATGAGAACAATTTTAAGAAGCTTTGTTATCTTTTAAGATGATTCATTTATCTAAGTACAAAAATAAAATAAATGTTATGGGGCAAAATTAATAAAATTAAAAAAAAGTTACTGAATAGGAGTCCCTCCTTTTAATGTATTTTGATTAAAAGAATGCTTATTGTATGGAAGTAAACAGGAGGAGGTATGGTATAAATTTAACTGCACAAAGTGCCTAGTATATTAATATGAGAAAGAGAAGGTTTATCTACCAAACTATGCGACACTGAGTCATTAAAACTTACAAGCCACTTGCCCTGGCCAGTGTGGCCCAGTTGTATGAGCATCATCCTGTGCACCAGAGGGTCCCCCCCAGTTCAATTCCCAGCACATACCCAGGTTTGTGGGTTCAGTCCCCTGTCGGGGTGCATATGGGAAGCAACGGATCGATGTCTCTCTCTCACACTGATGCTTCTCTCTCTCTCTCTCTCTCTCTCTCTAAAATCAATAAAAAATTATTTTTTAAAAAGCACACAAGCCACTTTATTTATCAATTATGTCAGTACTCAAAGTTGTCCAGTTAAGATCTACTTCCTCTTGAAAAAAAGAAATACACTGAAGGGAGACACAAGGAGCTTAATAGTGCTACCATGATTCCTGATAGCAAGGATAAAGCCCACAGGCATGGCTGTGGGGAACTGAGTCACAGGGAAATTTGGGAAGCTTGAAAAGGAGAAAAGAGGTGACCAGGGCCATCATAGGCATGAAAATGGAAAAATCTGAGAAAACTCGTTATGAAATGCATGTGTGCATGTGGAAAATATATCTGCAGAGGCACTAGATAGCACAACCCAGATCTAAATCCATGTACCCAATTAAAAAAAAAAAAGACTAGAAATCTGAGACTTAAGGCTACACGCCCAGCCATGTGACATGTAGTCGTTCCCTGTGTCTATCACCTGTGCTTCTCTATAAGTCTATTGAGCAGGGGGCCAGTACCATCAAATGTACTTTCCTCTCTTGGTTTAAGTTTTACAGGGGATCTGCGGGGGCTGCGGGGTGAGCTGAGATCACGGTTGGAAGAGCTTATTGAAGCAGGATGGACAGTAGGTCTTGCCATTCTGTTCCCTGAAGATTCCCTTGGACAGCTGTGCCAGGCAGAAAGCACAGACGAAGTGCTCGGGATGGAACTTGTGGCCCATGGCGCTGATGCAGCGGCCGGAGATGGGCTGCCCGCACCCGTGGCAGAGGGTCCCGCGGCGCTGATGGTAGTGGAGCTCGCAGAACGGACGCCCGTCCAGCTCGAAGAAGGAGCCAGTGGAGAAACTGCTGAAGCAGTCCT